TATTATTATTATTATTAATTATTATTATTTTTGGCTTGTTCTCTATGTGCACAGGTGACTTGTAGAGCATGTGCAGGACGAAACTGTATGAAGCAGCCTAAAACCATAATAAAATATTTGGTGAACGACCCTCGCATCTGCTTTGAAATGACGGTGTCGGTCTCAAGCCCGCCAGTTTACGCAGAGCAGATCTCCGAGGCCACGGGTATTTCAGCATCAGCTCGGCAGGAACCGAACTAGCGGGTCCCCAGGACCGAGGGTGATGTCTTTGCCAGGCAGGGGGCGGGGGGGCAGCCGGGATGAGGGAAAGAGTGAGGGGAAGGGTCTGGCGGGGGATGCGGGTGCCCAGGGAAGGGAAGGAGGCGGCATCGCCGCGGCTTCTCCTCTCCCAAGGGCTGAAGCTTTGCGGATTATCGCGGCCAATGTTCGGACAGAGACGAAGAAAAAAGGGGAAAAAAAAAATTAAAATGGAGAGATATGGTTGGGGCACAGCCCAGCCGGGGAAACTAAGCCTCCTCCTTCACCTGGCAAAGGCAAGGAGAAGATGGGGAAATAACCACGCCAAGGAAGGACCCGATTAGGGGCGAAATAGCCCCAAATCGCGGCCTCTGAGATGTGCCAGGGGTTGTCCCCACCATCCGCCTCCGCCGCTTTGTCTTGCGGCGGTTTTGCTGGAGGAAACCAAACGCCAGGTTCAAGGAGCGTGCTAAGCTTTTTCCCCCCAGCAGAAGGATTTTATATTATACAATTTGACATTGATCTTTAAATCGCCTGAGCTGTGCTTTTTTTGTCTTCTCGGTCTCATCGCGTTTACTTCCCTGTCCTCAGAGAGATGCCTCCCCGGTAAGCTGATTGCTCGGCTCGTTTTATTTAGCAGCCGAAGCCTGGCACCGGGCAGCGCTGGGAGCGGGAGATGCCCCGGCTCCCCGCAAGGGCAGCGGCCGGGGAGGCACAGGGGCATTTATTTCAGCTCCTTGATAGTTTAATTCAGTCCTGCTGCCTTTTATCGGGAGGTGTATCTCTGTCTCGGCAGTGGCTTTTCCCCCTCTGCCTGAAATTGAATTTAAAGGCCGGATTCAAGGCGTTTGTACCGCCGATGCCTGAATCTGCTTTCCACCCCCAAATGCATGTGCCTTGGTTTTCCTTATAGACGGTTCCAGGGATAGGGCAGGTAGCAGGAATTTATTAGCTGTTTTCCAAGCTTATTTACAAGCAGCTATTTCCTTGGTGGGGTGTAATCGAAGGTGTCGGAGGGGGCAAATGAGCCGTATGTTGGGAGCGCGGGAGGAGCGGATCGCAGGGCGGGGAGCGGGGGCAGTGCGGGGGTTTCCACCTGCCTTTAGGGTACCTACCTGCGGGAGCGTCCGGACCAGCACACCTTGCACCCCAAACCCTGAGGGGTTTTTGCCTCTTAAACCCCACCGGATTAAAGCCGTGCAAGAGGAGCCCGGCTTTGCTGTTTGAACCTCAGACAAGGTGTGAGTTTTACCTTGGGTTTGGGGTTCGCTGGCGAGCAGTGCTTCTCACCCACGAGGTAGTTTTGAGAGCAAACTCACTCTCAAAACGGAATCTGCTGAAACACGTCGTGTTCTTCCTTTCTTTTCTTCCCCGGGAGTCGGTGAAGCGGATTGCGATTTCTCCATCGGCTTCTGCGGGCAGAGTAGTAGCGCTTATTGTGGGGAATTAAAGCTTTCAAAGACATATAAAAAGAGTGGAGAATTATATAAGCACATGCGCTCAGCGTCTGCTAACGTGGAATTTCTCTCCAACTTAAAAAAAACAAAAAGCTGGAATTTGGACAGTAGGCAGCGGGGATAATATTGTCTCTTTCGACAAAGGGTTTAAGTGTCATGAAGGATGCGGGATCTCCCGAGTGGGCTGAGGAGGGGCTTTCCCGCGGATGCTCGTGGCGAGACCATGAACCAACCCCCTTCCGAAACAGTGTCCGGGGCAGGAAGCGGAGCACGGAACCCATTTGGGAAGAGCAGCCCCGCTTCCCGGCCTTGCTTACTGTGGGTGATCGGGAGAACCGAGGGTCTCCCAGCGCTTATTCCCCGCCGGAGCTCCGCAGGGGCCGGAGTCTTGGGGCTGCACCGACGCCTTTAGTTCTACCGATAAGACTCAAAAAAGAAAAACACTTCCCACCGCCCCCCCCTTTTTTTTTCTTCTGCCCTTTCCCTTCCCTTATTGAAAGTGCATGCCCTTCTCGTGGCATTTTCAACATTTTTCCCCCTAAAGATCAGCCCAAGCTGTCGCCCTCCTGAGCCTTTGGTTGTTTTAAAAATAATGATAATTATAAACGGGGAAGAGTGGAGGAGCTTGTATTTACGTTAAACAAAACGCTCCGAAAAGGGTCACTAAAAAGTCTGCCTTGACCCCTCTCTCTCCGGTTTAACAAAGAAGGAAAATATTGTATCAAAAGTGAACTGAATGGATAAGGCGGAGAAGAGAAACAGCTTTTCCTCTCTTCAGCTGGGAAGGGGGGGAGAAATGTTTGAATATTTCCGTTTCTTTTGAGAAGCGGGGCAGCCCCGGGCAGGGCTGAATGGGAAAGTCTTGTAAGCGGGCTGGGAGGCTGTCAAACTGCTCAGAGTAATCACTGCTAATGAAGGGGTCTCCAGCCCTCCCTGGGACAAAGGATGCTTACGAGTGCTCGCCGGGGCTGAATACCTAATAAGTTTGCAAGGGGGAAAAATGAGTGAGCTGTCCGTAAATTGATTTTGCAAGAGAAAAAAAAAAAACAAAACAAAAAAACAAACCAAAACAAGACAAACAAAAAAACTCCCAACAACAACAAAAAAAGGAGATGGAAAGGCTCATAGGTTTGGGAGAGCCTGGCCCCGGTGCAGCTGGGGACAGAAGGCCCACTTATCCGGGGCGCATTGTCCCACCCCCACAGAGGAAGGCTGCTGCTGTTTGCAGTGGAGACTGGGGTGGAGAGAGGGCTGGGGGGGTTGCAGGAGCCTTGGAAAAGCCTCTCCAGGCCGGGAGCACTGCCCCAGCTGCCGCCTGGCACACGCGGGTGCTCCCCGCACGCCCATCTTCGCGCTCCAGTTTGCACAAGCCTTGCAGAGCGTTCCTCCCATCCCCATCCCGCAGCCCAGTCCCACAGAAGGGACTGTTCCCTTTTTGTTCTGCCACTGCCTTTTGTCCCTCATCTAACTGTGGTGTTTTCCTTGCCGAACAGAAAAAGGGGGATGTCTGGAAAGCTGCCAAATACCGCAACACCACCAGCACCCTGCTCGCCTGGGAGGGCTCCTGTACGAAGGAGCTCTGGCTCTGGCCTGCTGGCCTGGAGCTGGGTGCTGTCAGAGGTTAGAAAGGGGGCTGGGTTCGTGGGTGAGCGTCCTTGTGTGACAAGAAGAGCGTGTGTGTCGTGGCTGTGGGAAGCAGGAGAGTGAGCCGCATTTTGGACCTTTCACGCATCCAATTAAAGGCTTGGGAGGATCAGACTATCACAGATCCAGTTACCCCTGGCCAGTGCAGGGGTAATACCATGAGAGAGAGCATAATACTCCCCAGGGATGTCTGCACCCACATGTCAGCAATGCCAGGCATTGGCTTTTCCTTGCTTGTGTTATTTCTTTTCCAGGAGAAGATCCAAATGTGTTTGCTGGAGGGGAGGATGGAAGTGTGGGAGGCCAAAGGGAAAGGGCAATGTGGAATGAAGAAGATGCCAAACTTTGAACTGTCCTCTCCCTTGTCACTTCCCCAAGGCCATCCTGCAGCCCCAGCACCCACAAAGGATCCTGAACCCTGGGCTGACCTTGGTGTGCCCCTCCCAAGGGGGGCCCAGAGGGTGAGACCTAGCTGGGAATACAGGAATGAAAAATTTCATCTTAGTTCCTCTGAGGGTTACAGCACTTTGCACTCCATCAGCTTTTATTCTTGGCATCGGGGTGACAGATAAAACCTTTGGATTTCTGCTCCCTTCTGTTTCAGGACAGGCTGCAAGACCCCCAGTAAAAGGCCAAGAAAGGGCTTCCCTTCTTCCACCACTTTTTACACCCATTCTAGGTCCCCATCTCCCCCCAAAATGCAGAAATTCCCTAGAAAGCTCATTTTAACCCTGCTGCCTGTGACATGAGCCTCTCTGACACACATATTCCCCCTCAAGAAATACAGCTTGGAGGGAAATTCCCAGCTTCAAACTTTATAAAAGCAAAGTTTGTTCACCTCTGCCTCTTCTCAGAGGTGGGGGAGAGGCACTGATGGCCCATGATCCTGTTAATTGCCTCCCTACACTTAACAGACAGCCCTGGAGCATCACCCCTCATCACTGTTTCCACTATTTTTGTCCCAGAAGTCCTAAAAATGGTGCCAATCACCCAGTGCTCTCCTGTCACAGCTCCTCTCCTGCTGTATGGCGTAAAACCCAAGGGACTTGTCCTGTACCTTGGCATTGCCCCATAATGGTGAGCTAAACCCACCCCTGTGGGTGACCCTCACACACAGCATGGGCAGGATGGGATCCCCATCCTCCCCACTCACTGCCAGGGGAAAAGCATCTCCTCTCCAGCAATGCCCAAGGAGGGGCCTGGTGGGACCTCCTAGGCCTATCCCAAGCCAAATAAATGGTGTCAGACAAGGCTGGGAGCTTGCTATCCTCAAAGTCTGGATTTGCAGCTCATCTTCAGACAACCTGAACAGCCTTTTCGGAGGGTGTCCCTGCGGAGACAACATGCATGGGGTGGTCTCTTGCTCCCCCAGCATGCCTTCATCCAGCACCCACTGCTGACTGGAAAACACCTGGCAGGGTTTTAGCTCTTTTTTTGTCACAGTAGAGACCTGCCATGGAGAAGGAAGCTGCTCTGCCATGTCTGGGCTATTAGATGACATGTCCTGCCACTGCTGCCCCCCCGATGGGGGGCCCTGCTCCACGCTTCTCAGCCCTCTCACCCTCCAAATAAGATGGCTGTGTCCATGGGAAAGACTCTGCATGCCATGCTAGCTACTGAGCTGTTCCCCAGGGATCATGTGAGACAGCTCTGCCTGGTCTGAGGCAACCCTGAGCCAGGGACTCTTCTAACGTTTTAATAGGATAAGTGATGAACCTCAGTGCCCTCATATGCTTTAATGTACAGATACAGCCAGACTAAATCACTTGAGACATCCCAAACAGCCTAAAGGATTTAGACACATCTCTTTATTTCCATTTAAAG